ATATATATATATATACTAAAAAACGTACCAAATGTTTTTTTTTTAAATATACATTGGGTATTTATAAAAAAAAAATTTCTTATATATAGACAGGCAAACTTACAAACAGATAGATAGATAAATGGATTGATAGAAAGATTGCCTAATATTCTATTTCTTCTTGTAAGCAGGGAGTGTGAAAGACAACATATTAACGTTTTGATTTCTCTCTCATGGTATAAACATAAAATCAAATTTTTTCAATTAAAATAACACGCGGAAATGTCTATATAACGCTCGTGTATGTGCTGGCACAGACACGTGCCTTTGGCTCGACATTTCTGGCGTAAGATGGAAAACCAGTAAGACTACCCCAGACGGAACATAGTTCCTAAAAAAAAAAAGATTAAAAATACGTTGCTCAAAACCACACGCAAAGCTTTAACAGCAGTAGTCCATATTACTGTTGTCATAGCAACAGTATTAGAACTCTACTTGAAAAATAAGTAGAGCTTATATGAGGCAGCTACGTTCGAAACTCAATCTCTGCGTTTTGACCAAATTTCTGTAGAAAAATAAAATCAAAACGAGAGAATATAAAGACCCGTGTATCATTGTTCATTGAAAAAGTATATGCGTTAAAGTTCATCTTGAATGAACTCTTCTGGACTTACTTTATTTGTATAAACTGTGCAGGATACAGACGGAATCAGGAACTTGCCTCCTAGCAACAGGTTGAGAAAATATCATAACAAAAACTGACGTGGCACTCAATCAATACTCGGTTTTGCTTTCTCTTTGTTGTTGTTGCTTTCCAGTTTCAGAACATAACCTTGCAATAAAATAACAATTATATTCGTAAATAAAGAGTTAAATAATAATAATAATAACTGAGCATGCAGTAGACAAAGTCGGTTCAACTTTAATGGCAATACATTCAAGCGTGTAGATAAATTTACGGCTTCAAGAATAATAAGGGAAATTGATACTACAAGTACCAGGTTTTACTGCATTGCGTATTATCCCCCTCACCTCCCCCGAACGTGTATGGTAAAATGTTCTAGCCATAAATTTTCTCATCTATCTAAGCCTTTTTATTTCTTTGTTGCTTTGAATAGAAACATTACAGTCGAATCCACATCTGTGCGCCTCATCATATTGCGTGCATTTCTACATCATTATATTATATCTCTGTACGCGATTTCAAGATGGTGTACTATGAAAAGCGAGTGTTAAGGCCCAGAGTTAGGATAATTAAAAAGGAGTGTTAAGGATCGTTCCCAAATTTGAAAAGAGTTTTGAATGTGAACAGAGTGAAAGTAAACCTGGCGACGAATTACCGAGTCTAGTGACTTTTCATTCAAAGTAAGTCGTCGTCTTAACGTTATTTTACTTTCATCTGTAGATCTCTATTGTAAAAAAATATATAACTGATTTTGAAACAGTCATGATTTTTTTTTCTGGGGAGGGATAACACAGTCGGAAAAAAACAAGTACTTTTCTTATTTAAACTCAACAGCAGTCTTTGGGGCTGTACTGCAGCCCAGATTTTGTCCCCGTGGGAAATGGTCATACAGAAGAAACCAGAGGTAACAATTTATCTTACTGTTAAGTGCAAAAATCAACTGAACATGCTCATTTTATCTAATTCTAAAAGGTTCCATCTTGAGACACCAGGAGACACTACTTAGACATGTAAAAGGTTCCATCTTGAAACACCAGGAGACACTACTTAGACATGTAAAAGGTTCCATCTTGAGACACCGAGAGACATTACTTAGACATGTAAAAGGTTCCA